CATTTATTACCAAATTTTTTCCCAATTTTTTTTTTTTTTTTTTTTAATTATTATACAATGAAGAATAATACATCTACTCATCTATATAATATAAGCATTTATTCTTTATAAATGTTAAGTTGTAACTTTGTAAGTACTAAACGTTTAAACTAATAAAGTTTACTGATAAAAAGTAAGGACAATTACATTACACAGGCATATAGCTAGCGGCTACAATATCTGAATTAAATATTATGTGGCCATCGATTAAAAAAACTATAATGGTTGTATTGATGTAGTAGTCGTGACACCACTGAGGAATTTTGAAAGCATACTATTTAGTTAGCCGAAATACATCCAACCGATTCTGACAAATTTCTAGCTGCGCTCAACCAACAAAATATACTCACATTTAAAACTAAATTTTATAAAATATTGAGAATTTCTAGAGCCTAAACAGATTACCGGATTATTATGTCTGGTTTGTTGATGAATGATGATGGAAAAAGACTATCAGTAATTAGATAGGTAAACATAATATACTTATCAAGTCATAAATGTTATAAAATTTATTTTAATCATACGAAGACAATATATTGTACTCTAATGTACAATCATGAAATAATATTTATACTTGAAACTGATTAAATATTGARAAATAATTCTTTGATAAATAATAAAATAGGTTGTAACTTAAAGTTGTATACGATATTTATATTTTGGGGAAATCAGGTAAATTTTCCCTATTTCCAGATATTTTTTATAATCAYTAATATTATTTATAACAATAGGTATAGGTGCTTACCAATTACATTATAGCCATAACATATTATAGCATATAATATGACTTACACAGTAAGTTATACTCGTACATTTCATTCTTTTGCTGTAACAAACTAAAAACTATAACAGTCCACAAAAATGAATTATTTTAATTTACTCAAACTTCTAGAAAATGATAAAAATATACCATAATTATAAAAATGTAGCCGCTCATAAATTAATAATTGTATTCATTGTAGTTGTTGAAGCTTTTGCGGATAAAAAAAAAAATAAACTAATTTATTTACAGTAAATATCATTTATTTTGCACTTACGTGTGATTTGAAGTTGATATTATATTAATAATGTGTCCAACTATCAGAGTAACTAGTAGGTAATTACTAATTTTATATTAGAGAATAATTTTGGTGAAAAAATAATGATTGTCAATAATAAATAAGATAATTATAATACATCCAATCATAAACTATATATATTATATAGTATAAGAGAACACATTTCGCATTACTGTACTCATGAAATCATGAATGCTTATTATTTAAGAACACCAGTTGAAGTGGGTTAAAGTTAAATCATGAGAGAAATAATTATTTGCTTAATAAATAATTTAATATCACATTTAATTTTTTGGTGATGGACTCGAAGTATTCATCTATAATTAAAATATTTCATTTTATAATTTTTCTTATTTTGTTACTTACTTGATTAATAATAACTGACATTAAACTAAAGTTTCAAAAGCATTTTTTTATGTTGAATTATTATAAAACAACATTGTTTATATCAAATTGTGTACGGATTCTTATATAAGATAAAAATCGTAATTTAAATCCGTGGGAATATGAAATATTTTTTGGGTTCTTTCGGTATTTTTCTTTATGATTATGTACAAATGATGTGTGCAGTTCAATAGTTATTTCAATATATAAATTTTTCTGAAAATACATTAACGAGTAAAAAATGACTATTATAACGATTTAAATTTTATCATTCTGATAAAAAATTAATAATAATAATTAATAATTTAATTTAACAATACATTTTTAAGGGTTTGAATCCTCGAAGTTGTATCTAATATAAATATTATATAATATTAATAATTAAAGAATTTTCACAGCATATAAAATTAACATATTATAATAATAGCATAATTTTTATTTCTATAGCAAAAACTGTTTAAAAAAAGTCATAATACAATCAAAATGTTCCATATAAAAGTATATACATTAAATTTTCAGAAGAATGTCATCATTTTTTCATTATAAAGGAATAGCTTATCATAATTAGTTCAATTGAACACGGTATTATGCTGCATAAAAAAAACACGGACCAAAACATTTCACAACTCCACAAATCTTGAAGAAAATAAAACATCATAATGGTAGCTACGCCATGGCAAATCATAGCTGAGATTAGAAAGTTCAGAAAAAAAAGATTTGTTATAAGTATTCAAAAATATACAAAAAATATAAAGAAAAAAGGATACATATAAACCCGTTTGTTGGAGAAAACATTGTTATACCACTCATAAATCCAAATATTTCGATACCAATGAAACCAATTGAAAGCGTGTAACCAATCATCAACCTATGGATGTAAAGAATAAATTACCCTGACATATAATATATATATTATATATCAATAAGAATCAAGTATTTCATTTTATCATTATTATCAATATATTAATTATTATGTATATTACTTGTTTCGAGTAAAATAAGTGAAATTCGATAAAACAAAATAACATGTGCAATGTGCATAATATTCTTAAGAAGACCGCATTTGTTGTCTCCATCTTACAAGTGCGTAACATGGCAAATTTTACGCTCAGCCGCAGATCACATTTAGCTTCGTTAGTTTAAATKTTAGAGTGAATTGACCCCTTATAAAATTTAAAGGTAAGAATTTTTGTACATCTTAAATAACTTATAACTCGCTTCAAAATTAAAATATAGTAAAAATCCCGCGAGATCAATAATATTCTTAACTTAAAATTTTATAAGAGATCAATTCACTCTAACTTTTAAACTACCGGAGCAAAGAGTGATCTGCTGAGTGTAAAATTTTCTATGATGTTACGCACTTGTAAGACGGAAGCAACACATGCGGATATCAGGTCCTCTCAATGAAATAAATAATAATCAAACAACGAAATGACAATTATTAGTCTATTATTTAAGGGGAAAAAATCAAAAAATGAAGTAACATACTAGCATGCTATTGCTAATTGTAACATGGTATTCATACTACATACTATTTCTAAATTCATCATATTAATATAATTACTTTTTAAAACTTAGAAAGGGTGAATTTTATTTTTTAATACTGAAAATAAAAAACTTAAAAATTGATAAAATTTTTTTTCGAAATATTCAATATAGCCAATTTGTAAATCTGATTTTTAGAAAAATTTATATGGTAAAACACTTATTTAAATCAAATGGCTGATTTTTTAAAAATTTTTTAAATATCAATATTTTCGTTAAGTAAATTACGATCTAGTT